TTCCTTGTATCGATATTTCGATAAATTGACACGATTCAAAAGAGAGAGATTCAGGTACTTCTTCCAAATTCAAATATTCGAGTTTGCTACTCATCTCCTGTTGCCATATTTGCAGTTCTTAATTTTATTATATCTACTTTTTGGAAGCGTGTTTGCCGAGCACTTCGTTGCCATTATTTATATCAATATTCCAATAAATGGAGATGATTTAAAAGAAAGAAACTCAGGTACTTCTTCCAAATTCAAATATTCGATTTTGCTACTCACCTCCAGTTGCTACATTTCCAATTTTTAATTTAATTTCCGCAATACCTATTTTCTCCAACTCTCCAATTTCTCTTTCGATAATATATTTAAACTACATATTCGTACCCACTTTTTACGCGAAATATAATACACGAAATACGAGGTATCGCTGTACAAACGAACATTGGAATTCGGTTAATCGCCGGAATTTAGTCTATTGAACAGCACTTTGGGAGAGAAGATCACCGATAACACCGGAATAAATCGGAATAGAATGTCTGTGTACTCGTGCACAGAGTATTTGTGCGATCTTTTACTGTATATGTGTTGAAAGTCAACCCCTAAAGCGATGTCTACATTTTACGATAGACCTGTATTTATGAGAACGCGGGGGGAGGAGGCGTGGAGCGACATCGCCAATGCATATGAAAAAGATCGATCGAACGCCACCGGCCTGTTTCGGCAACGTATCGAAAAGCAATTTGTATACGGTGCTCTTCGTCGAGTACTTTAAAATATTACATCGGTTTACGCTTGTTCTCGCGCCAAGATGTGTGAGTTTCTTTTTGAAATTGAAAGTTTTCCGCCCGCAGACCGAACGTATCTCATTCGTAAAAAGCCTCCAACTTTATTAATTAAAGCTTTGTTGCCTCGCAAGAAATCGCGACGAACCCTCGGTTTGGCGGATCATCGTCGTAAACTTGTTCAATTACACTTGGCCGCCAGACCGAGGTACCGGTCCTCTCGCGCGTACCGTACCCCCTGTGGAGAGGTCACGTGCGCGGTGGAAAGTCAGGCGGCAACCCCTGGGAGAAACCCAAAAATGGGGGTTTTCTGATGTTAAGCAACAATCCCCTTCCCTTGGAAATAGCTGCGTCCCACCTAAACAACCTCCTCCAATGAGGAGTCAGCACCTACAACCCCCAGAAGAAATCGGCCACCGATCAGCAACTGGCCGAGCGGATAAAACTAAGGAAACGAGGCAGAAGCGCGTCCTTTTTTTGGAAGTCTTAGCAGTTGGTCTTACGAAAATTCGTATTTTGACATCACCTCAAGTATCACTCTGTTGCAAATAAAACTAGTTCCTAGAATTTCACACTGAATAAATCAAGGTAAGATTAAACTCACATACCGGTTCGGCAGTTAAGCATCGAACAAGCTTCGATAGATTCTCGCGATTCTCAGAACATCGGAGTTGCAGGAATTCAGATGGAATATCATACACATCGAGTAGAGTATTTATTTGTTTGCAGCTTTGTAACAGAAATTTATGTAATATTTCTTTCTTGCTTCTTGTTCCAAGAATAAACCAGCGAAATTCTTCTGGAAAAATGTGACACCCTGTATATGTGTGTCAGAAAATTGGAAGATTTAGTACAATTCAATGGTGATATTTGAAATTTTAATTCAATATTTAACACCTTGCCTATAGCTTTGTGACGAAACGTTTATTACAGAAATTTGCGAATCATTTTTTTTCTTATTTTTACCTAAAGTTGAGAAAATTGGAAGATTTAGTACAACTGTCGTGATATTTGAGATTTCAATTCAATATTTAACACCTTGCCTATAGCTTTGTGACGAAACGTTTATTACAGAAATTTACGAATCATTTTTTTCTTATTTTTGTCTAAAAGGTTCCTCTGCAAAAATCTGAGACACTCTTTTCGGAATATTTGTACGAGAAAATTGGAAGAGTTAGTGCAATTGTCGTGGTTTCTGATATTCGTTATCAGTAATAATCGAAATTTTAATTCAACACTTAACACTTTTACCTAATATTTGATTTTCCTTCTGAATTTGACACTTAAATTTTTATTTCGCATACTCCGTTTTGTATGTGAATCTGTATCAGATCTGCAAACAAAAATGGACCTTGGATAGAAGCTGTTTATTGGTACGAAAAATGATATTTAGCAATCTCGAACACAAATTGCTTCGCAGACTTGGAAATTTAATTAACTGCGATAAGTTGAAATGATCTAAATGTCAATGAATATTCTTCCAAGTAGTGTAATTAGGTGGAACACGCTAATTTAGTTTGCATATTAAGAGCAGCATATTGCAACAGCATTTACACTCTGCATGTACCATCGGAGGATATTTAATACTTGAAACATTGTTTGAAATTTAAATACATTCTAACGAACTCGAAGTGCGTTCTAATTGCTATATGGAATTGATCCATTAACATTCACTCGTGTTTCTATTTTAACGATAATATTAGGAGATTTCTTTAAGTGTAATTAACTGTAGTTTAAGGTATTCTTGAAAATTGTTGCAAAGAAGAATGAAGCAAGGCAGAAAGTTTGTTCGCTTCTAAATGCTGTTCGTAAGCTGATGTTGCGCATGGTTGTACGTGTTCCTAATTTTGGTGAAACCGTTGCCACAAGTCCTAAAACCCAATACTGATCAGATCTGTTCAAATCCGATGTACACGAGTTTACAATGAGCTCCTGAGAATCCGGGACCTAATTAAAATTTCAAGTTCTCCGAGTTACAGTTGATCAATGTTCAATTAAATGATGCCCGGGGACACGGGAGTAACGGTGTTCTTAGGATTAAGTGCGCAATGTTTAACGATGAAATAAAATAGAATTGAAAATTCGATATTGCAATTAATGAATGATTCAGGCAATTCGAGTCTGCTGAAGGGATTCGTTTATCGAGAAGCAAGTCAAATTCAATTACTTTTGCAAGTGCATATTATCGAATTGAAATACAGTTTATAAATCAAGTGAAAAGAATGGTAACAAAATAGAAAGAAAAATTCGATATTACAATTAATGAATAATTGACTAAATTCGAGTCTACTGAAGGGATTTGTTTATCGAGAAGCAAGTCAAATTCGCTTATTTTTTGGAACAGACAAAATTTATAAATCGAGTAGAGGGAATGGTAACAAAATAAAATAAAAATTTGTCCGTTAAATTTCGACGCTTTAGCGATCTTACGACCTCGAGAAGTGAAATATTTCTTCCACTGACTGTGCGCGATAAGTGACGAGGTTCCTGAAGAAACAATGAAAATGAAGGCAGAAGGTAGATCGATGGACATAGAAGGCAAGATGAGTAGATAAAAAGCAGAGCCAATTACCTTAAGGTGTTTAGAGTATGCAGATGAAAAGAGAAAGAGAAGAAAAGAAGAACCTTTCGTAAAGTGGAAAAATATGAGCTGCAGAAAGTAGAAAGAGGAGTAAGCAAGAGTATGAACGAGCAGGGAAAAGGAACAATGATGAGAAAATTCACGTGCATACAACATATGGCGTAGCATAATGAGGAAAAGGTGGTAGGTATCCGAAAACGATAAAGAACAGGTAAGGTACGATCGCGAGATATAAATTACGGGGCGAAATGAGGGGTGAAAAGTGGCGACTAGGGAGGAAGGGAAACAAATTTGTTGATGGGAACGGAAAGCGCGGGTTCGTGTGCTGCGATTAGAAAAATGTACGAATGGAAGAGAAAGGGGAGTGGCGGAATAAAAAGGATAATACTACTTACAAGAGTTGAACGAGAGAAATAAACGAATTAAGAAGGTGGAAGGAAGAAGGATGAGGAAGAAAGGGAGGCTGGATTTTGAAGGAGAGAAAAATTGAGATGAAAAAGGGAAGAAAGGAAGAGAGTATAGAATGAAAGAAAGGAGAAAAATATAATGAAAAGAAGAGATAGAGATGAAAAAGAGGAAGAAAGGAAGAGAGTATACGAATGAAAGAAAGAAGAAAAATATAATGAAAAGAAGAGGTAGAGATGAAAAAGAGGAAGAAAGGAAGAAAGTATAGAATGAAAGAAAGAAGAAAAATATAATGAAAAGAAGAGGTAGAGATGAAAAAGAGGAAGAAAGGAAGAGAGTATACGAATGAAAGAAAGAAGAAAAATATAATGAAAAGAAGAGATAGAGATGAAAAAGAGGAAGAAAGGAAGAGAGTATACGAATGAAAGAAAGAAGAAAAATATAATGAAAAGAAGAGATAGAGATGAAAAAGAGGAAGAAAGGAAGAGAGTATAGAATGAAAGAAAGAAGAAAAATATAATTGAAAGAAGAGATAGAAATGAAAAAGAGGAAGAAAGGAGAAGAGTATAAAAATGAAAGAGAGAAAGAAGAAAAATATAATGTAAAGAAGAACGGCAATGGATACTTCAAGAAGCGAAAAGAGAGGATAGAAAAAGTCAGAAAAAGAAAAAACAGGGAAACTGATGCAAAATCTAGCAACGCTCCGCAAAATGAAGATAAAAACAGGGGATAGATCGATGACAAAGTAAAATCAATTGCCTTGAAGTGTTTAAAATGGCGGTGTAGCACTACCATGAATATACGAACCACGCACAAAATACATTAAACACAGCAACGTGAACAAATATATCGTCAATTATATTTTTCCCGTGCAAACGCAATTCACGCACAGTTTACAGCAATTTAACAATGCCAATTTACGCTTGCAATATTATTCTTACTCCGCGGAAATATTTTACGCCGTGTATATGTATATGTTCGTGTCGCTTTGTCTTGCACACAATTTACCAAATTACTGCTAATCGAAACGACGATAATGAGCGTTGTTTGCGGTTACTCTCTGTTTATGTACATATTACACGAATATGTTAAAATTGTCTACGTTGAAACGTGACATTCAACATTAATCGGCATTATCAACTTGACGAGTTTCGGTAGACGGTGTGAAATAGTAATACGGAGTTAGGGAACGTCATTAACAAACGGTGTGAACCCTTTGTTTTTTTCCTTTTCTATGACTTCAGATGCGAAGGTGCGGACTCATTAGTAGCGTACGTGGACATAGATAGGAAGAAGGAGAAAATATATTCGTTTTGCGGTGAAAAGCCGTTACGGCCTATCATGAGCAACGGACCACGACTTTCCTTGGAATTCAACGGCAGCACGTCGTCACGTCACTCGAGAGGCTTCAAGGCTGTATATTCCTTCACCGAGAGTGAGTACCTGGAACTATTTTCTTCTTCTCTTTTATTCAAATTTCCTACCTAATTTTTTACTTAAATCTCCCATCTAATTTTGGCTGAATTTCCTACCTACCTTTTTGCTTCAATTTCCCACCTAACTTTTTACTTAAATTTCCCATGTAAATTTTTGTTTGAATTTCCCACCTAACCTTTCTTTAAAAATTTTTCTCTAAATTTCCCACCTAATTTTTTGTGTGAATTTCCCACCTAATCTTTTGTCTGAGTTTCCCAGCTAACTTTTTGTTCGAATTTTCCACCTAACGCTCACATAATTGCACTGTTACTCGAATTTTTATTAAGTTCAAGCGTTTGCCAGCGTTTTAGCGAAGCGTCGGCGGTTATTTACGTACTATATTGAATTTTGTGATAATTACAATACGAAATCACGTTTCATGATCGTTATATTCGTTGCACGTCGGCCACGTAGAATATTAAATTTGATTGAGAGTGGACACACTGATCCCACATGAATTGAGTATTGTCTATCGTGAAGAAAATGAAGCGATGCTTCATTCCGAAAAGTGACTCATGTTTCGACATGTTTAATTTCCTGTGGTTTTAATCGAGGTGTATGCATTCAGGGGACTGTAACGATCTAGAACTCTTATTTGAACTATACAGTCACACATTGCACATACTGAATTACAGTATTCGAAGAAAATATTATTGCCTGCATTTTCTAAGTTTGCTTATCATCCAACGATAATAAAGGATAAAAATAATAAAAATAAATAAGAAAATTTTAACAAAATCGTCTAATAACAGAGTCACCCTGCATCTGCGTTCGCAATATTTTTGGGAAACTGTACGAAATTCCTAAGCTCTCCTCCGTCTATCTTCTCCACCGTCCTTCCTTTTTCCTTTCTCCGTTCACTTTATCTTCTTCCCTCTACCACTCCTCATCCCCTTTTTCCCCGTTTGTTTTTCTTTTCAAGATTTCTTTTCCCCTCCTCGTACTCCATCCTCTTCCCTTCTCTCAATGGGTTCAAAAGAACTCACCCTCTCATATTTTACTTTTACTCATATTTTCCAAACTTTTTTCTCCTATTATTCCTTCCGTTTCACTCATTCTTCCATTTCTCTCCTCCCCACGTTGCTCCTTTTTCCCCGCCTCTTTTTCACTCGATCCACCATCTTCCCACTCTTTCAAACCTTCCAAATTCTCTCCCATCATCACTTCTCTCTCCCATATCTCTTTCTTCCTCGCTCTTTCCACCTACCCTCTCTTCCCCCCCAGAATCAAGTCTTCCAGCAACGCGTGCTACCAGCCTACACACCTAATTTCCCCCCGTCCTCCCCACCGCAGCTCCATCTGTTCTCCCCCCGCGTCTCTCCCTCCGTTGGCCAGTAAATTCAGATATTGTCAGTACCATAAATCGGTTCGATGTGCTCGGGTAAAGATAGACGATACGCATCATTGAGAATAAGTTATTGGTACGGTACGTGTTCGAGACGTAACATCGGTACATGACGTACGGTCTTACATATGTACACCGGTCTACACGCGTAACCTCTGTGCAACGGTGGTCCGATCCTTTCTACCTACCGCCGCGTGCGCCTATGTCCCGTCAAAATTTCAATTTCCGTTGAGCATTCTATCGTGATGGCAATGTGTCTCTCTTCGTACGACCGTACATCATCCGCAGCCGAGGTTCAGATTGCGCTCTGTACACGGTGGAATGTGCGCGGTGGCCTGCGGAACAAATGGATCGGCCAAGTGTGTTTGTCTTTCTCGCCCGAGTGGCGAGGATTCGCCATTGCCACGCGATACTCACGCTACGCGAAACTCAAAAAATTTCTCCTCTTTTTCCGAACTATCCGCGGAAGAGAGTGGAGGGAGAGATGGGAGGACGGAGAAGGAGATACGACAGATAACGCGACGGGGGGTAGAATTTAAGAGAGGAGGAACGAAGGAAAATCGGATGGGATTAAGGATACCGGGGGTAACAACTTCGCCGCATTGCGAATATTCCGTGTCCCGCGGAAACTTTCTTCCGGTTCGTAGGGGAGAGCATTCAAAGATTGCGGTGTTTAGAACTCGAAGAACGAGCACGATGCTGGAAACGAGACAGGCGGAAATGGAGAGGAACGAGTGAGACGTTTCTGGTGTTGGTTTTTTAAGGATTGTAGTTTTTGAGTTGTTAGATTTTTGGGATGTTTTTGGCAAATTTTCGAGTAGTTGTGAAGTAAAAATGATATATCAAGTACAGATACTTTGTAATATATAAAATGGATGAAACTTAATTGAAATTCTATCTGGTAATTTTTGTTATTTACGGTGAAGGAACAGTGATAACAGGGCTTCTGAAATTCAAATGAATATAATAATAACACTGAATTATGAATTAAAGTGATGCTAAATATGAATAATAAATTATTGATGCATAAGATCGTTCGATTGTTAATTAATCAACATCGGTATTATAATTACGGTTATATTTCGACACTTGTCGTTAAACATATATTTAATTCTGTTTAATTTTAACTAAATAACCTCGATTCTGTTGTGTATTTCATTTCACGAACAAAGGAAATCACTATACACACGCTCATCTATACAACGCTTAAAAAGTTTCAAGAATATCACCCTACTTTTCCAATTGTTGCTGAATCTAGGTATCGAGGAGATATGAAATACTGGGATATTTAAACTTTTCCCATTTCTAGTACATTACCGAAGTATATGATATTAAATAGTAGTGATCCTTAAGAAATTATCGTTTCACTTTTGAGTAGAAAAATTTCACATAAGGATTCTACTTTCAGTGAAAAGAATAAAATATCTTTTAGGAGGTAAAAATTGTAATATTTGAAAAACAATTTATTTTCATATTGCAAATAATTTGAACAAATAAAACTGGAAATAACGAGCAATATAGATGAAATCGGTATATTGCTAATTACAAATTAGTCTGCTATTCGTTCAGCCTAGTGTCCATGCACTTGAACGCTTATTGCATGTATTATAGATATTGTTTTAAACATCTGTTAATATTATCAGCGCAGTTTAACGATTTCTATTTCACGGTATATTGCTATTGATAGAATGTTCACGCGGTTCGCGACGTATTAAACCAGCGTGATTCCCTTACGAACTTTTACGCAGATAAGGGATGATTGACTGAGAATGGGGTTGGATTTTTGTAACAATCAATTATTATTTACAAACAAGAGTGAAAATCTAAGCTATCTTAAACTAGGAATCTTTATCAATGTAAGTGTCTAGGAAGTCTGTGTGAACTCGTGTTTTTTTTTTTTCTTCAGTGTAGTGAGAGGAGTTTGTTTTTATACTCATTCTATGTCCGTCGGTTTTCCTTCACCTTACCTCGGATAAGGCGTGTCTTAGGTTTTTGAGACATGCGGATTGGTTAATGTCATTAGTCGGAAGTAGCGAGGGTGGTGGTTGATATTTTAACTGATAGGTTAGAAAAAATGCGGAAGGAGAAACAAAATAACCACCCCCAAGCGAACAGTCACTCTCAGGTAGAACACGTGCTCCCTGGGTGACCGTCGCGAAAATCCGCTTGCCTCGAAACCCGGAACGGTACAGGTAATAAACTTATGAAGCACTCTGAGGTGAACAATACATGAAAGAAACAAAGTAAAAATTCTAAACCTCGGTCATCGGTGAAAAAACAGGGACTTATAAGGAATGCGATGGAGAATCAATGGCTTCATAAAGTTATTGTCTCTACCGACGGGTCAGGATTTGGAGAAATATTCGAACGATGCAAAATTTAGAAATCCTGACCCGGTTTATGGAGGGCTCTTTCCCCTTGGGGTAGTGCAGGTATGTGCCGCGTAACATAGAATTCATTTTCTCTTTCCCCTCGATATTAATTACTAATGGCTATTTGCAGAATATCTATAAAATATTTCAAATATTTATTGACCGTCCGATAATTAATTACACGCAAAATTCTTGAGAAATATTTGTTAATGATCATTTAGAGGACGTCTCGAAGTGATAATCACCGATATTTGACACGTATTATTTTTTATTGGCAATTTCCACATTGAAGAGATGAAAATTGCCCTCAAAGATGAAGAAACATATTTACTCAAAATTATTTATTATTTCTCTTAGTAATCCTCTATCTTCGATATTTTTCCATATATTAGACTAGATTGTCAAATTGCCAATTAAAACACCAACTTTTCCTTCTTCACATAGTATTCAAATAATAAATGTCTCACGTTTCTGTACACTACAGACCAAAATTTTGGAATCACCGTGCATTGCAAGTTAGACAAAACTCTGGACAAAAGAAAATATCAACTTTAAGAATTTTTTAACCAATTTCTTGTCACTCGAATCAGTGGATATTAAATAAATTTGCTATTAATCTTCAAAAATGACTAGCAAATTCGGTGTATAGGAAAATTAGGAGATGATGCGAAACATTTGGCCAGCAATCTACATCGGCGAAAAGAAACACAAATGAAGGAGTTAATAAAGTTTCACGATCGCCCAATTGTACATTCAGTATAGATTTCCAACCCTAAAGGTAAACGTCAAAAGGCAGCGTACATTGAAAGCAACGAAACAAAAGCGGAGCCAAAATGGTGAGAAACGTAAGAGTGAGAGAAATACATACGTGTTATTTATACGTATACATTGGATCTGTGTTAATTTTAAGAGACAAGTTTGCCACGTTAGCACTGACGCAACTATCTCTCGAGCTGTGTGCGAGCGTTGTATTGTTCAGCAAGTTCCGTGAAGTAGACGAGGCTCCTATTATCGCGTAATTGAAACGCGAACAAACGGATTTCGAGCCATTCACAACGACAGAAAAGAGAATCTGCGGCGCCGAAGTTCTTCGTTTGAGCTTCGAGTCAACCCGGAGCTCGCCCGGAGAGAAACGAGGCACGACTAACGATAAAAAGTTTCGCTTTAATTGCTATGGTAGGATATCCTTCTGGGAAACTTCAAAGCTGGATATCGTCCGTGAAAAAGTCGGATCACTCGTCG